CAGGGAAACTTGAACTCCCAAGAACCTGTCCGCTGTGTTAGCTGGTACCAACCTCAATCCCCAGTTAACACATAGGGAGTGGGAAGGATGTAAGAAGTAGATAGACTTATCCCAGTTAATAGAGGCCTCAGATAGTACACAGTATTCATCTATAATATTTCTTAATTCGGTCAAACAATCAGGACTATTCTTACATGCAACAGTCAAATCATCTGCTAAGGCCCCTCCTTTCCATTGAAAGGCAGGGGAGAGGTACAGACCTTCAATTCTTTGATTGATTCGAATGTTAGCCAATAGAATTTCCAGTTGGATAACGAAGATCAGCGGGGCCAAGGGACAGCCCTGTCTTAGTGAGCGGGACAGATGGAACTGTTCCGACTGCTTCCCATTCACCATAACAGTGGCCGTAGCATTGGCGTACATAGTCCTGACCCAGTTCCGGAACTGAGGCCCAAATCCCATGTGTAAGAGGGTGGTGTTGACAAAGGCCCACCCCACCTTGTCATATGTTTTTTCCATATCTAACATTAGGATAGCCGTGTTCCTCTTTTCCTGGCTAATGATCTCTAATGCTTGTACCGTCGCTAAAATGTTCGCCCCTTAACGAATGCACCTTGCTCCTCTCCTACCAGTGACGGGAGCACCGGGGCCTGTCTTAGGGCAAGCACCTTTGCTAGAGTTTATAGGAAACATTCAGGACCGAAATCGGTCGCCAATTTCTGATTTCATTCTTGTCTCCTTTTTTATACATTAAGGAGATCATTCCGTTTACCAAGCCTGGAGGCAAGGACCCTGAAGTCCGAGCCGCATTAAAAATCTCACAAAAAAATTGACCAAAAACATCCCAGGCTGTGAGGAAAAATTATATCGGCAACCCATCAGGGCCTGGACATTTTTCCTTGGTCATCTGTTTGGCCGTTGTCGTTACCTCTTCCAGTGAGATAGGGTTTTCCAATCCAGCACACAGGCTGGGAGGGATCTGTTTTAAGTTTCAGTCCCAAAAGGAATGAAATTCCGCCAAGTTAGAATGGAAATTATCAAAGGGCCGCCTAGTAGAAACGATATCTTGAAAATAAAGCATTGCATACCTATACAGTGTTTCGGTGTCTGTGCCCACCAAGCCATTGATGGCAAAGGGGTCGGCAAGTTCTCGCATCACGGGTCTGGCCCTTCGTAATATAAGGGAGTGAAAGGTCTCCTTTGTCATCCTATTGTGTCCCAGTATTCCTTTAATGCGGAGCCATTCCTGCCAGTTTGTCTGCTTACTAATTTCTAGTTCTTCCCATTCAGCCGATGCAGCGGACCTTTTGGTTGACCAATGGTATTCGAGGAACGGATCCGATCCATTATACGCATCTGCTTGCTCTATTGTCTGAGACAGTTGTTTTTCCTTCCAGTTCCGCGCAGCTGCTTTCATTCTGGAGAACTCAATCATTCCCTCTTGCAGGATACCAATCCCTGCATCTACCCAATCGTCATACTTATCAAACAGATCCCTGGTTAGCGGCCAATCTTTCATTTGAGATTTAACCCATTGTGGAATTCTCGGGTCCTTCAAGATATTAACATTAAGTCTAAAAAGTGGCCTATGCCTTTGTGAAATAACATCCAAGACCACTGGATAGTGATCTGAAATATAAGAAACTACTAGATCTGAGTTCGATATACGATCCCAAGGGGCATCCCTGGTGAGAATATAGTCAAGCCGTCTTTTGGGTTGAGCTGTCCTAGAGGAC